CCGAAAAAGCCTGCAAAGAGATATGTATCGCCCTGGTCCACTTACATACCTTCAGTAAAGCCTGTGCTTGGCAACATCTATTATAGCGATGGTAGGTCACCTGATCAATATCAATCCTCTTACCAAGGTAATTCTTTGTATAGGAACTGTGGAAAAGTTGGGTGTTTCCGTCAATGCTGTTATGGATCGCCTTCTGCTTGAAGTGTGCAAAGATGGAATTACTCGGCATTCAGCAATCGTCAACAAGCGAGAAAAAAGAAAGAGGTACGTCTGAAGATTGGAATTTATCTAGGGCTGTGTGTTAAGAAGTCGTTGCTACAGGAATATTGAAAAAGCTCGCGAACGCGTTGCTCGTTTGAAACAAGAAAAAGAAGCACGCGAAGCGCAAGGATGGGTGTTCAGGCAACCGAAAACTTCTGCTCATCATCCTGAGCCGAAGTAAGTGCCAATTTGTTCTGCTTATAAATATAGCTTTACCGTTTGAACATTGAGTTAGAATTTTATATCGCAATTTTAGACAGCAAGATGTGCTATACTTCAGAGCTGAATCCACCAACAATGAGTTAGGTCCACGTCATCGTGGTGGACTTCTGCAGAAGGACTTTCTATATCCATCGTTGAAGCGTGGAACAAAAGCGGAAAAGAAAAAGGTATGACATGTACCACCGTTTCCTGTCTTCGTTTCTAGATTTGACTACGGATTTTTGAGGTTTTTTTTTTAAATTTCTGAACTTTTGCGCTGTTTTTGAAGTTTTCGTTTCATTGAAACGTACGCGGGCTAACACTTTTGTTTCAAGTTGAGGTTTCGTCGATTAATATTTCTCAGTTTCTACATCTGCATCCATTCTTACTTTAGATCTGAGTTGTCGCTATGCTGTCTAGGTTTCGCTTAACTCACTCAAATTGATTTATTTATCGTTACAAGATTTCAATAGTAATACCAAAGAAATAGGATAACTGTCTAATTGACATAATTTTAGAAAAGTTTGCAATGTATTTATCTTTTCAGAATGAGGAACTTCGACGAGCACGTTCACGTAGAGTTATGAGTCAGTTAGCTGAGTCGACATATGATCAGATAGAAAAGCCCGTTATGGCCAGACGGGGATCTGCTCCTAGCAAAACCGGTATGAACTTTCAAGGGGCTTTTTTGATGTAAAATATTCTTTTTAGATCCTGTTAAAGTTTCCCGAGCAAGAGAACCTTCTCCATTTGACCCGGAAAAACAGGAAAGACTTAGATTAGAGGCTGAAGAACGCGAGAGGCAGAAACGATTGACCATGCCGGTTCGAATCTGATGCTTTTTT